CACACACACACACACACACACACACACACACACACACACACACACACACACACACACACACACACACACACACACACACAGAGGAATAAGAAGAAGAAGAGAGCAGTGGCTATGGAGAATCGAAGAAGAAACAGGAAGAAGCAGAAGAAGCAGAAGCAGAAAATGAAGAAGAAGAAGAAGAAGAAGAAGAAGAAGAAGAAGAAGAAGAAGAAGAAGAAGAAGAAGAAGAAGAAGAAGAACTCTCCTCTCTCCCTCTAACCTGATGCTGAAGTCCATGAGTACTGACCAACGAAGGTGATGGCCCCAACTGATGCAGGTCGCTGAAGGAGGCCGGTCCCAGACCGGTGTGAAGTCCCAGCTATGACGCCTGGGTAAGTCTCCCTCTCCCTCGCGGCTCTGGCCCTCAAGCCTCTCCACTCTCCAGCCTACCTCCTACTCCTCTAGCGCTGCTAACTCTAACGCAGCTCTCTCTCAGACTGGCGCTGCACTCAAGCAGCGTGACGCCCAACTGATGCTCCAGCCCATTGTCGCCAACCGGAGGACTGGCCCAGCTATACACTGCTGGGCGCGGCTGGACTCTCCACACTCTGCAATCAGGACCATCCAATCTTATGCCCGATCGATGGTCCTGATCGCAGGCCCAAGTCCTGGTCCTGCACCTCTGGTCTAAAACAGCCTGCCTGGGTCCCTACCGGACGTCCAGGCGGCAAGTCCAGAATGGACAAGGACTGCACCAGGCACTACAGACAAGTGCCTGGTCCAGTCCAGATGTGGACAACACCGGACCTGGCCAGCACTAGCATGTTCGTACAAAAGAAAATTCTGAAACGACGCATCTGGAACAGACATAAATAGACCAGACGAAAGTCAGTCCCAAACTCGCTCTGCCAAAATAAATGAATAAATAAAATAAAAGAAAGAAATATTCATGGGACAAGGGATGAGCCTAGGCCTAAAAAATAGTTGTGGCCCTCCAGGTCACCCACAGGAAAGGGGTGCGCGGCTCAGGGGCCAAATGCAGAAATGTAGGCCCTCCAAGGGCCCCGTGTAGTAGGCGTATGCATGCTACAACCTCGTTGTTCTTATTGAAGGCCCCTGTACATCCTCGCTGGCCTCTAGACAGGACTCAGATTTTGGGGGATTTGTTTCTGTCCTGTTTTCACAGTCACATACCCTGTAAGGGTGAATAATAAATAAACCCAGCGGAGACCTGTTAACCACAAGTGTGACCGTAGAATTAACAGGTAGGTCCAGGCCTGTCCATCCCGTGCACTGCTAAGTAGCAAGCGCGGACTGTTAGGCAACACAAATACGATCGTTTTCGTAATGTACTCGGAAGCCTATTGTTTCTACTATAGATTGTAATTTATAAGGTTTTAAATTTTAAATTACAATACCATTCATGTTTGATAACTAATATCTGCAGATTGCGGGTATTGAATAGAATGCACATAAAATAGAGTTGGGGAGAGGAACACAGCTTTACATACATGTAAACTTCAGAACAGACATTTGAGCGTACCCAGAACAGAACCTGAAACACGAACACTGCATCCACTATCAAAGTCTGAAGCCAGTAGCTATGAGTATGTGTGGTGCGGATAATGAGCCACGTTACAACAGCCATGGCAGCTTTACAAAACCATGGTCCAAACTAAGAATGGAAACCACCTGCGACTTAGGAAGCATGGTTACCTTAGAGACCATGTGGTTGAATGGGGCACGAGTGTAGCTGTTAATAGACAGATCATGAGTTCAAATCCTCGCGGAATGAGGTCGACTGAATACAATAAAGTCAGGGGTTGGCACTTGAAAGAAAAAAGAAGTACGGTCTTGTTCAAGCGGCTACCCCGTGAAAGAAAAAAAGCGAATCAAAGTTCTGTTTGGGCATACAAAAGCAACAATTTTGTGGTTGAACGGACAGGACACGAATGTAACTGTTAATAGACAGATCATGAGTGGCATCGGCTGAATACAATAATGTCAGAGGCTAGCCCTTGAAAGAACAAAGAAGCATGGTCTTGTTTGGGCGGCTACTCCATGAAAAGAAAAAAAGAAAAAAAAAAAGAGTCACAAAGTTACAAACACGAAAAAGCAAAAGTCTCAGATACCACGGCTTTTGGCACTGCAAGCTTCGAATCCAAACCTGGATAGGTGCAAGACGAGGAGGCAGCATGAGGCCCGCATCATCACCATGTGTCATGATCACGCCGCCAACCATCCTGGTGCTCATCCCCCATGACGTCTGCCAAACGAATTGCCGCTCCCCATTTTCGTCCAAAAACTGCAGAAGAAAAGGGTAGCAGAACAATGATCTCAAGGTCAGACTGAGATAGAAACCTCATATTTCACACGACCTCAGTGCAAATCAATATATGGCGCCATACCTGCCGGATGATGCCTGAAAAACGTTTCACATAGGTTAACTGTTGACATAAGGAGGAAAAACAACCCGAATCGCTCCCACCGCTGTGTAGTACGTAGTACGCTCTCACCACGAACAGGATGAATTGGTACATCGTCCAGTAAGCTGTAAGGAAGCTACTAGGCAGGAGCATCTGATGACCTATAGAACAACCACCTATTCCCCTCCGCTCTTCCGGAACACCCCATTCAACTTCTTCTCTGGACTAACACTATCCGCTAATCTCAGCAACCCAGAAAAGGTGTGGTTCAGACCGATACGGAAAGTGACACTCTGGGCTAGCTGGAGAGAGAGATGCAGCATTACATTCAATGATACAAGGGGGGGGGGGGGGAAGGATAMAAGAAATGCAAGAGATAAGGGTATGGGTGGGGACGAAATACATTATCGAAGCAGAAATCGTTTGCAAATCATCGAAGATCGAAGCGTCAACCCAGTGGAGCCCAGAATCAGAGCAGGAACTGTGTGTGTCCAAGGTTGAACAATGTCGGGCTGGCGGAAGGCGCTGTAGGTGGTGGCCCTCTGCAGTTCGCGAATCCAACGAAAGGACTGGCACAACTCAGCAGTGACAGATACTAATCTGGGCAATCACCGGTGAGAACCTCAAGCTCCTGTCTGCGCTTAAAAGTACAGAGGTGGCTCACAAAATCTCCATTCATCACCAGGCAACTGTCAACACGCTCCCTCTCAGGGGCGGTAGGGACTACGATGATCAAAAGGGAGACACTGAGAAACACAGGACTAAGCCACCAAGCATTTCCATCAACAAGTCTAGCTTTCGGAAAAGATAGATTCGACAGACTTGTTAACCGAACCTGAGAGTAATATGAGAAGGAAAGACAAGCTGACAGTGAATCCTCTACCTACCGTCTGCACCCGAAAATAACACCCGGGGGCCAAAGTTGCTACCAATTTACTGAATACAACATCTGGGCACTATAGACGAGTATAACGTGCCCTAGGCGTTATATTCGTGTATAATACCCGAGCGTTATTTTCGGGTGAAGACGGTAGTGGAGTAATCGATGCTGATAAGGGGTCTTTTGGCTAATGGAAGGACGCATGATTGTGTGACAGGACTGATGCTTCGCTGGATTCTAAAAGGACCTATTTCAATCAAAGAAAGAAAGAAAAAATAGGAAAAAGAGAAGAAGAAGACATGCAGCCTAGGCTACCCGCCAGGCCGCCCGGATCGCCTTGTTTTCCCGGGGGGCCTGGCCGTGCACGGACCAGGGAAGGTCCCAGCAAAAAAAAAAAATCCGAAAAAAAACTATGTTATAACTTTTGCCTCAGTGTCACATCGAAATTCTTTAACAAATTTAAAGTCAAAAATAATTTATTTATTTACTTTTACTTTTTTGTTTTGGCCCAGCCGGGCAAGTGGTCCCGGGCCACTGTAGTAGCTTAGCATGCACCATAACTTCACAGGTAATAAATATACAACCTTCGCAAATTTGAGATACACCAACAAATACTGTTCGTACAACAACTGAAAAAGCTACAGGCTTGTCTCCAGACGAAGTAAATATGCTGAAGGAGTATATTCACGCGCCCAAGCTAGCGTTTTCCGATGGATCAGAGTTCAAAACTGTTGGATGCAGTGATGTTAGGGGCCAACCCACCAAAAGAACATAGATCAGGTTGCAAAGGGATGGGGAGGAACAAATTGAATGGCATTTTTTTCTCATCTCGGCGCTGCAAAGAGCCTCTTTGGACTCCATAGTGGCCTTGAGCTCTTTCTTGTGAAGAAAACCCAAGTTAGGGGTGGAGAACAAAGGAAGGAAAGAGAGAGTACATGCAAGTGAGGACTATGACTACTACTGTAGCATGCTGGCCCCCTGTGGATAGGATGGAGCAAATTGGGGGAGGGAGGTGAAGATAAGAAGAGGAAAATATTTTAAGTTCTTGACAATCAGACAATGTTGCAAAGCCAGTAGATGAACGACGGAAAACAAGAAAGAGGAACGACGAAGGACCGAAAGACAACATAATTAATCCTCAAGCGACCAGTTGAGTGGGTAGGAAACTGTTTGTACAGACCATACAGATAAAATAACCCAACCAGCTAACAGAAGATAAAAAGGGTTGACGAGGAGGAAGAGGAGCGACCTTTCAGAGGCAGGGGAAGGAGCAGGAAGAGGATGGGAAATGGAAAAGAAGTACGGGATGAGATAGAACAGAAGCAGGAGATGCTGCGGGAATCACACGATGTGCGAAAGAAGCAGCACTTGGAAAAGCATGAGAAGAAAGACGGCCTCCAGGAACAGCAGGTGTTCAAGCAGCATGCCAAGCAAGATTGGGCAACAACTAGTTGATCATAGGAATTAAAAAATAGGTTGGGCAGGAGTAGTGGCAGGAGAAGAGGGAGAAGAACAGAACCACGAGCAGCAGCAGAGGGAAGAGTAGCAGATGGAGAAGCTGCAATGGGTTAAGCAAGCGCAGCAGTTGAAGCAAGAGTAGTAGCAGCACAAGTATGGCAGGAGCGGGTGACAGAGTTCATGGAAGAGCACGGAGATGATGCTGATGACGATGAAGAGGAGGAGGAGGAGGAGGTGAACCGGGCACAGTTGTAGGTCCAGGACCTGCGTTCCGAATGCCTTAGCAAAGTTCTGAGCGAGGTTGTGACTTGTCCCGGCCTGCAGCGCCTTTCGATCTCCCATCATTGCCTCAATTGTATATGTGCAAAGGGCACCAGCAAATGTTTCCATGCGGGATTTCCGTCCCACCACCACTGGTATTGCTGCATGCTGTACAGCAAACTCCTCGTAAACCCTGATCATTCGGAGGGCCTTCGCCATAATCGGCAATTGCAAAAGCCGCACACAACAGAGAAGAAACAAATCAGCCCTTCAACTCCTTCCGGAGTGCCTCGTACACGCAACACCCCCAACTTCTTTCACAGCTTCCAGAATCAGCATATCATGCACTCAGTTTTCTTATCCAATCTCCTGTTTAAGTAATCATGAAAAGAGAAAAGAATACTCAGATGGTTCTAGCCAGGTGAACAAATTATTCAGCTGATTCCAATACCCCAGATACAGTCTTCAGTTGAATCCAAGGAAAGGAACATAGCCTTCCCCAAGAATCAGTGGCTGAGGTGAAGTCAAAACAACAGTCGTATCAGAACCTGCTCCTTGATTGACTCCTTTCCAATATACAAACTACCCAGATTTCCTGAATGTCAATCAGACCAGTAATCAAAGCTGTGAAGCACAGTTCCAACTGTTCAAAACGTAAATCCACCTAGAAAACTTGGAAATCAGACCTGCAGATTAACAAAGTGTGGCACAATGCTACGTCTCCGAGTACAGCAATTGATTCAGTAGGCCCACACCCTTCCTTTCCGCTGGTGCTTCCCGCGTGCAAGTTCCAGTCCAACAGAAGATTCTAGTGGTAGAAAGTTGCTGGAAATCGTCACTAGCCCACTTTCTTAGCTTTTCCCTTCCCTAAGTTATACTGAGGGAGGGAGGGAGGGAGGGAGGGAGGGAGGGAGGGAGACGGGAGACGGGAGA